GAACTGCGAGAGAACGGGCGAGCGGCTGGAAGACAAGGAGCAGCAGTGGAGGACGAAAGGCGGGAGGGTCGGAAGCGGGGACGGGTATGAGGAATGATGAAGGAGGGGGGGAGGTAAGAATCAGGAGGAGATATGAGAATCGAGACGGCAAAGGAGGAGGAGGAGGAGGAGGACGACGACGACGACGACGAGAGGAGGGAGGGAGGGCAGGGAAAGAGGGGAGGGATAGAGGGATGGAGGGAGGGAGGGTGGAGGAGTAAGGACACAGGGTGAAGATATCGCTGATGATACGGGAATGAGGAGGAGGAGGAGGAGAAGGAGGAAAAGGAGGATGGAAAAGGGAAAAGGGACGAGGAAGAAGAGCGAGGAGCAGGAAGGGGGAGAGGAGGAGGGGAGGAGGAGGAGGAGCTGGAGAAGCAGGAGGAGGGACGACGGGACATTGGGGAGGGACAAGCTAATTTGGCGTGCTCGCGCCATCTGTCACCTACTCCTCCCACCCATCCCTTCCCACTGCGCTGATTTCTTGTCTCTCCGCCGACGCGTGTCAAAGCTGGAATTCCAAAAAGAGCCTCATCGAGTGCTGCGCAATCGGAAAAGGGATGCTGCGTTCATTGGAGGAGGAAGCGGCGGATGAGCAGGACGATGCGCGGGAGGAAAAGGAGGATGAGGAAGGACGAGGACGAAGACGAACAGCAGCAGCAGCAGGAGCTGGCGCAGAAGAGCGGGAGGAGCAGGAGGACCAGGGGACGGCGGAGGAGGGGACAGGATGGGGGTGATAACATGAGGAAAGGCTCGGATCCAGAAATAGTGGCTCGCGCTGGGGCGAGAGAGCCATTCTGAACGACGGGAGCAAAGCGCCGATCTGGACCTGAGGCCAACGCTGCAGCGGCAACACCGTTCTGAGACACTCAAAACTCTTCGATTGAGAAGCACATAGCATAGACCAACTCTTGAAATCCAATGCATGTGACAAACGCTGTGCGGAGGGGGGGAGGCCTACTTCCCGGCCATTCCCGTGGGAGAGTGGAAAGTCATAGTCATATCAAGCTAGGTGTGTTCGCGCCAGTTCTGACATCCTACCCCTCCCATCCAGTCCTTTTCATTGCGCTGATGTTTCTCTATCCGCCGAAGCGTGCCATAGTGGACCTTGGCTTCCAAAAAGGATTCCACCGTGGCATGCGCAGTCGGAGAGGGAGGGCTGCGTACATTTGAGGAGGAGGTGGCGGATGAGCAGGAGGATGAGGAAGGAGGTGGACTAGGAGGAACACCAGCAGCAGGAGCTGGAGTGGGAGAAGCGGGAGGAGCAGGATGAACAGCAGAAGGCGGGGGACGGGAAAGGAGCGGGGCGACACCGACGAGGACGCACTCGGATCCAGAACAGCTGCCTGCGCTGGGGGCAAACGCGCCATCGTAGAATGAGGCCCACGCTGCAGCGGGAACACCATTTTGAGACACCGAAGACGTCCCGATGGAGCAAACATTGAACAAAACAACATTTGAAGCCATTCTGTGTGCCAAAAAAAGATTACGAGGAGGGGATCGTCCCACGTCAAGGCCATCTTCAGAGGAGAGGGGGAGCAGTATTCATACGTATTGAGGAGTTGTGGAGAGGAGAGAGGCAAGGTAGGTGCGCTCGCGCCAGCTCCTATCCCTTCCCAGTGCGCTGGTGTTGTCTCTATCTGCAGATTCGTGTCCTAGTCGACCTGGAACTCCAGACAAACCCCATCGTGTCATGCACAATCTGAAAAGGGGGAGCCGAGTATATAGGAGGAGATGGTGGAGGAGGTGGCGGGTGAGCAGGAGGATGAGCAGGAGGAATAGGAGGATGAGGAAGCACGAGGACGAGGAGGGGAAAAACAACAGGAGTTGGAGTGGGAGAAGAGGGGGGGAACAAGATGAACAGCAGAAGGCTGGGAAGGGGAAAGGAGCGGGGCGAAACCGACGAGGACGCACTCGGATCCAGAAAAGTGGCCCGTGGTTGGGCGAGAGCGCCATTCTGAACGATAGGAGCAAAGCGCTGATCCGAAAATGATGCCCACGCTGCAGCGGGAACACCAGTTTGAAACACCGAAATCAATCGGATTGTCATCCTCGTCCTCCTCCTTTGTCCTCCTATGTGGAGCTGTTTCCATACGTGGACGATGATAGCGTCGCGACGTTCGCTACTCAGCAAGATGTGTTGGCTAACCTCACTCAGGCCGTTGTTTTTGTTGTTTGTTCTCGTGGGGATCAGCTCAAGGTGGACATCCACCCTGTCAGGGTGAGCACCTTTGCCAGCAGCCTCTCGCTCGCGCAGGAGATAGCGAGACCCCTGGGGAAGCTGGCAGGTCACGTGACCAACAGCGTTGTCACTCTCGGAACGGACCTTGCCCCTGGCCAGCACCGTGGCACCAGACGGCGTGTCTGGAAATTTGCACAATCGCTTCCGTTTGCGGAACGACGTAACAGAGTGTTTCTCAGGTACCGTGCCAGGTTACCCCGTAAGACAGGTAGGATGGGAAACATATATCTTGCTGGAGTTGTTCCAGCTGCCTGCTTTGGCTTACCGGTGGTGGGGATGAGTGAGCACGAGCTTCGAGAAGCCCGCAGGGTGTTACTGTCCTACCAACCTCCCAGGCACCGTGGCTGCTCCCTCCGGGTGCGGCTCATGATCAATGGGGATTCCGTTTAGCGACCCTTGGTGGCTCCGGCTTTGCACTGGGCCTCCGTTGTTTGGGTGGCCCTCTTTTGTCCCACCATCTCTAAGTGCAGGATTCAGGAGATCTGTCAGATGTGGCGAGCGGTCCTCTTTGACGAGCTGGTCATCTGTAGGCTTTTCCGATGACCGAGTCAGAGGATGCACCTTTCGTTGGCTCGAGTTGGATGGGAGTCTGGGAATCCCCGTCGCGTTTGTGGACGACTAAAGGTGCACCTCGGCTGCATTTCCGCTGCCATGATTTCTCACATGCTTCACCTTGCGGTTCCGAGGCATCGCGAAAGAGTGTTGTGGCAGCGCGCTCCTCCTTGGGGCCACTGGGGTTCGATTTTGCGTTAGCCCTCTCAAGCGTCATGTGGACCCAAGGACCAGAAGCTCACCCCTCGCCAGATGTACATGGCTCTGACTTTTTTTGCAAAGGAGTTTGGACTCGGGCACGGGCAGGGTTATCCGATCACGATTGCGATGGGTTTTGATCTCGTTGCGGGCAGCCCGGCAGCGCGAGGCGTCGAGTCTGGTGTCTTCATCCCGAGGCGCTGGCAGTTAGAACGAGAATCATTGACGGGGCCCCTGTCGAGTGGGTGGCCGAAGCTTTGGGCAGCGAAGATGGGCTTTTCTTCGATGAGCCTAAGTGGGAACACCCAGAAACTCAATATCCTCCTCACGCCTCTGCCCCCAAACCCATCCTCTTCAGCCATGCAGGGGAAGACCCTGGACTGGGAGTCTGTTGAGCTTTCGGGGTATGGTGTTGTGATGGACGGCTCGGCGTATGGACACACCGTTCGTGAACCGTTCAGGGCGGGGTATGTTTGGGCGTTCCTGGGAGAGGGTGGTACCGTAGTCCCGTGTGCCACCGGTACCGTTCTTGATGTCCTCCGCCAGACCTCCCAAGCTGCCGAGTACCTCTGTATGGACTTGCTCCCGATGCTTCAGAAGCACGGAGGCACGAGGCACCACGACTGCATGAACGTGACGCGCATGTGCAGCGCATCCAAGTAGTATCAAGTTTTTCGTAAGCATCGTTACGCTAGACTTCGGCGTGGAGCCGCTGCTTCACGAACCAGAGCCTGTGCTGGTGCTACCACACACCCGCCCACACAGATGGTGCAGTGTTGGACCCGCTCCCTGGGCCTGAACGAGATATCGGCTTTCGCAACTGGAGTGTGGACGCCTGGGCCAAGCAGGCTCTCCCCCTTCACACTCCACCCAGTGTGCAGGAACGGGAGGAGGTGGGCATGAATTGCAACATGTTGTTTTTGTTTGGCGTGGGTGATGGGCGCTGTTCTAACCGCTTTCCTACCCGAGCGTTTCGAGCGCCCTACGGCTGGTCTGCGGGCTAAGTTGTTCTGATCAGGGGGATGGTTCGTGGCAGGATCTCGGTCAGGATCGCGCCGGATGCCTCTGCCCCAAGCTCTCCTCAGACCCGCTTGAGCGCCCCACCTTAGGATGCAAGGGCCCAAGCAAGACCTGGAGGGGCGTGTTGGACAGATCCCTAGACCACTCGCTGGTTCACTGCACCGTTGGAAAACGAAGATAAGCAGTTGGCACTTTTCTATTGCACGGTCTGCGGAGCACTCTCGTTCACTCGTTGTTTTTTATTCGGTACGCAGTGCCAGGAGAAAATGTTGCCAGGCGCTCCCGCGACTTTGCGGCGAAATTCTGCATTGTACCTTCACTAGCGTGAAAGGCACACGGTGAGTGAGACCTCGCGGAACTCTGCTCAGCAACCACCCTTTCGCGATGTCAGCGTGCCCATTGGTTTGGTACCGACTCCAGTTACGACGGCGCGGCAGGTGGGGGTTCAGACCCGCGAGGAGGCCCGCAAGGCGTCCTTGCGCAGCTCCGCCTGAGAAGGTGTTGTTGGTGTTGTTGTTGGTGATGTTGATGATGTTGGTGTTGCTGTGTTGTTGGTGGTGGTGCTGCTGATGGTGGTGTTGTCGGTGTTGTTGTTGGTGGTGTTGGTGTTGCTGCTGTTGTTGGTGTTGTTGTTGGTGGTGTTGTTGTTGGTGTTGCTGTTGTTGTCATTTCGTCAGTTTCTCACCTTCTTCATTAGTTAGTCTGCTACCATGAATCAAGATCTATGGGATTTCCGATGGAACACAAACCTCCTCCTCCTCCTCCTCCTCCTCCTCCCTCTCCCCCTCCTCCTCCTCCTCCTCTTCCTCCTTCTCCGCCTCCTCGCTTTCCTCCTCATCCTCCTCCTCCTTTTCCTCCTCCTCCTCCTTCTCCTCCCTCTCCTCCCTTTCCTCCTCTCTTCCTCCTCCTCCTCCTCCTCCTCCTCCTCCTCCTCCTCCTCCTCCTCCTCCTCCTCCTCCTCCTCCTCCTCCCCCCTCTCCTCTCAAGTACCACATCGGGTCAAGCCAGCTTTGGTTCAAGCTTGCTTGCCCCGCGTGTCCCAGGGCTGTACCACCCACGGGTGTGCTTACTTGAGCGCTTTCGTGGACAATAGCTTCGCGGAGGTGAACGCTGGGATTATGGCTCGGCGCGGTCACGAGTTGGAGGGGGCGACTTGTGGTTGATCTGCTCCGGAAATCCGTTACCGATATCTGCCATGTTCGTGCTCGTGCCGGCTCCGTCGAGGCGGTGTGCATTTTCGGGGCTTCTTTTTGAGTTCGTCCTGGAAGTGTTGCCCACGCTATTTATTCACAGCGCTGTTATTCTTTTACGTGCCAGTGGCCTTTCCCCTTTTTTGGGGGCGTACGGCACGTCATTGCAGTGGTGGGATTGTGGGTTCGCCGCATTTGTTAGCAGCATCGTTCCTTTATCTGGGTTCCTGGCGGCGTCCTCGTGTGGCTGAGCCTGGCCCACTCCCGTATGGGCAAGTAAGGCAGACGCTTTTTCTTATGTATACGGTTGGGCTTTGCTGTAACATGTTCATTCATCGTTACAATTCTGAGATGACAATTTTTCTCATCTTGCAATTGTGAGGTGCTCTGTATTCATTGTTACCACTTCCAATGGATATTTACAGTGTGCTGGCGTATTGCGTGTTGGTGGAGTGACGCCCATGACCTACGGATGCTCATCGGCACTGTCTTTGGGCCGTCTGCACTGGGCGGGGCGTGGGGCTGTGGCGTATTTTTTTGCTGTGGCCAAGCGGATCGTCATCTTTGTGCGGGTCCACTGGCGGTGTACGGCGTCATGCACGCCGTGGGGCTTTCATCGACATTGTGTTATGCACGGAGTGGTCATCGCTATACCTTCGCTCGAGTATGGCGTTGACGAGAGCGTGGTGCAGTTTATTTACCTCGCGGTGTTCTTCCTCATCTTCGTGGTGATCGTGCTGGCCACGCCCGACGCGGATTGCTTTTTGCCTTTGTAGAGAGTCCTCCCGCCTCTCCTCTTCATTAATCCCGGCCTCATGTTCCCTGTGTCTTCTGTTATCGTTGTTCCTCTTCCTCCTCTTCCTCTTGCTCCCACTCCTCAACCTCATCCCTCACGCTATACCTTCACCATCGTGATCATCATCGTTGTCGTGCCCATCCCCCGCATTCTTCTCAATACCGTAGTCCTCTTTTGTCGGGGACAAGAAGGATGGAGGAGTGCGAGGACGAGCAGAGAGGGGAGGAGCAGGAGGGAGGAGCAGGTTGCACGAGGAGGAGGGGAGAGGAGGATACAGCAGTCGTCATGGAAGCGGAAGAGGGACAATCGCGAGGTGTGCAGGCCGAGAGGTGCAGCAGTCTCCGCGGCAGCCCCCTTCGGTCCTCCTCCTCGGATTCCTCGTCCTCCTTCTCGTCCTCCCCGCCTTCCCTCGTCCTCGCTCTCGTCCTCGTCCTCTCGTTCCTCGTCCTCGCTCTCGTCCTCGCTCTCGTCCTCGTCCTCTCTCTCGCCCCCCAGTCCTCCCCAGGAGATGTCGCGGAAGAGCTTCGGGCCGGATATTTTCGGGTACGGGGCCGCCGTCGACGCATGCGGCAACGCCGCGCGTTGGGACAAGGCGCTTGGTATCTTGGGCTCGATGCGAGACAGGCCGCGACCCCCCCCCCCGGGAAGGGCAGCGAGTAAACTCGGCCAGGAAAAAGTCGGCCAGGCTGAATTTCGGCCGAGTTCAGCCTGGCCGAGTTTGGCCCGGCCCGGATCAGTCTGGCCGCGTCTTTCCCCTGTCAGAGGGAGGCTCGTGAGGTGCAGGGCGCCGGGGGGCGTCGACCGTCCACCGGCACCAGCCGTGGCCAGGCCAGCCCTGGGCCCAGGATTGGGGCAAGACTCCCGGCCGTACCTCAGAGGGGGAAGGCTCGGGGGCGGCCAAGATAGGGGTGATGACCAGAGGGGGTGGGGTGGGGGGAGGGATGTCCTGGCTGGGGCCATGACATCTCCCCGCATCTCAGGCCACCCTCACCACATTTCAGCGCGTCCTTTGGCCCCCGCCGCGTCCGCGCACGTGCCACGGGCCATGAGTTGCGACCCCCCCTCTTGGACGCCCCCCTCCTGGACGCCCCCGACACGGCGTGTCCGCCGACCTAGGGCCGAGATCGACCTCGGGCCGACCGCAGGACCAGGGATCTCTGTGCGTGTGTGGAGCCCCTTCGGGGCCAGGCATATGTCCACAAACTTATCTGTTGCTGGTTCACCAGACAGTGGCGAATGGCGGCACAAACAAGGTGCATATGTGCTGTTCAACACCTGTTGTCCAGAGGATCAGCCGGAAAATTATGTAATATACGATGTCTTGTGGCATGTCTACGAAACTCCATGGGGCAGGGCCTAGATACCTTAGCGCATATGCCCGCGGTTCCCACCTCTCTTCTTTTGGGAGGGGCCCGTGTCCGCCACGGGGGTGGTGGAAGCTGGATGGCGCAAGTCGTCGGGGGTTGTTAGTGTTGCTCATTTTGGCCGTCGGCGTGAAAATGGGCAGCCCCCAGATGACAGGCCTCCCATCAGTCCCGAGAGAATGGAGTTGGCCTTTGCCATCTTTTGGCAGCGCCCCCATGGCCAGGGTTGCAGTCATCAGGCGCAGGACGGGGCGGGCCGGCTTCTTGTGCTGGTCTGTGGCCTTGCGCTTCGGGGACCGATGCTCTCGAAAGTCAGGTTCGAGAGACAGCCCCGGAAATAAACGCGTTGACGATATCATGGCAGTTACCCTATTGGGGGCCGCATTTGGATAGCACGTCGAGCGATTTCACCGTGCAAGCGGTCCAGTTCGGTGACCTTTCCGTCAGGGCGGTGCGTCGACGAGGCGACCTCTTCCTTCGCAGGCAGAGCGAGTTAATCGGCTCCTCGGCAGACGCCTGTGAAAGACAGGTCTCAGGGAAAGCTTAGGGGTCCAGGACGCGTTTCCCTAAGGAAACGTTTCTCTTGTCAATATCCTCCCTCCTTTCCGTCTCCCCTGTTTCTCCCTGCTCTGTAGCCATTTTGGCTCAAGTGGCCTCCAGAGTTCCCGACCCCCCTCAAAAGTCTAACGGGTAGAGCCAGGCTTGGTCGTGTTCAAGCCTCGACGGTCAGGAGTTCGCGATTGTACTTGTTACGCGCCAGAAACGTCTTCAGGATACGCCATGGCAACGGCGAGGGTTCACTCGCCAGCCGTGCGCGATGGCAACGGCGAGGGTTCACGAGTGGATAGCACAAGTTCCCGGGCTTCAGCCAGAGGAGGGACGGCGAACTCCCGCCGCAGCCGAGGATGCTGGAAAACCGTCGCGGATGTCCGATTGTCGAGCGTCAAGCTCGCATCAAGCGGCTCATCGGCTAAAGGCGACGTAATAGACGTGAGAGCGTGGAGGCCATTTTCCGTGTGGACGCGATTTGTCGATGTCAGTCTCTGGCGCGCGGTTCTTTATCGTCTCGCGTGCGCGAGACAAGAAAAAGGCGATCAGATCAAGCGAATGGCAGCCCAAATTCCCTTCAGGAGTCCATTGAGCCGCTCGTGGTCTTGACGCACCTGCTCCTCCACCACCCGACAAAAATGGCAGTAGCCGCTTTCAAACTTGGTTCGGAACCTTGAGAAGGTTGAGGAGGTCTTTCGCAAAGCAGCAGATTCAGCCCAGATGGCGAATCATGACAACACCGAGGTGGCACGACCGCCCCTGACATTCGGCCTTGTCGCCCCATCAGGAGCAGCATTGCACGTCCAACAAGAGGTCAGTTCAAGACAGCAGCTTGGGAGGCTGTTCATCATCTCCAACGGCCGCAGCATCGTTGAGAAGGCAAAGGTCGACCTCCAGTCGGCGTTCGCAAAGGCGATCCAGGACACGGCTCACTCCAGTCGCTGGCCGACGTGCGCAAGGATGTGGCAGCGGAGGTTACCGAGCACGCCTGGAAACAGAGGACTGCACCAGAGGGATTAGCTACGACAGCCGCTCCCGCTCGTGGAGGCGCATGCTCAGACGGGCCGAGGGGACTCCGCTGCCAGCCAGTCCTGGGCCCCAGCGGCTCTGGCCGCTGCTCTCGGCGGGACCGCCACCCGTCTGGAGACCGAGCTGCAAGCCCGCGCGTACATCATCGGAGGAGGGGGTAAAGAAGTTGGGTGGACAGCAGTCCCGCTGGCGTCGGTTGCAACGGCATCGTCGCGAAGAGACTCTGCGTGAGAAGAACGTTTGGATAGGTTCGTCCAGCGCGCGGGCTGCTTCAAGAGAGTCTCTACGTCGTCACCTCTCATGGGCTACGCCAGCTTCCGAATGAGCACTCTGATGTGTTTCGCGAGTGGGCCAAAGCTGGGTATCAAGCCAGGGCCTTGGGTGTACTTCTTCTTGCTACGCCAGCCATTCAGCGACGGAGAATGCTATGCGTAGAAGTTGTATCTACAAGCGTACATATCGGAGCCATGTGTCCAGCCTGTTTGCTATATCCGCAGGCGTTGGTTTCGCGCGAGAAGGGAACGCAAGGCGCGATCATGTCGGGCATCGGCTTGAATAATTCCGCGGGATTGTAGTTGAAGACTGGCGACTGGCGGTCGGTATATTTCGGCATTGAGAATGCAAGTCGCGACCAGCACTGGCATTGCTGGCACCAGCGTGAACCAACAGATCCGGCCAGGACGACTACTGCAGACAATCATGACATCTCGCCTGCCTGTAGGACATCCCATTGCTTGCGGTCACGAGCGGCAGGCCCCAGGATTGCCTGGCCACGTGTACGTCTGCACTCTGCAGCTGAGTAGGCACATGTGTCTAGCACCATGTGAAGGAAGCGTCTCATATATTGTACAGCGACCTCGCAGTCAATTGTTTGTTTCGTCGTTGGTTCCGCAGTGGGCGACCCAGGTTTCTGGTTGCTTGCATTCGAAAATGGATTTGGGACAAGCTTGTATGTGAACGCTCCAGTGCCAGAGAGATTTGTTTGTTTTCGCTCATGCGCCCGAGAAGGTCAATGCTCAGCCAGCAGGCGCCCTCACAAACGTCAGTCTCCAGAAAAGGATCGGATGCATGCTTCCGAGCAGCCAGAGGTTTCGACAAAGCCAGCCGCCACCTATACTGGGCGACCTCAGCCAGTTGACGACGACGACGACGACAAGGACGAACCGGGAGCAAGAATGATGATGAGGAGCGGAGGACGATTTCATTGTCCTTACTTCCTTTTTTTTCTCTCCCTGTCTCTTCTCTCCCTCTCTCTCTCTCTCTCTTGTGTCTGTCTCTATGGATTGTGTCTTGTGTTTCTGTCTCTCTCTCTCTCTCTCGGTCGGCTTTGAGCTGTGTCCGCTTCTGCTTGCCGTAGTGCGTTCTGTTCGGCTGAACCTCACGTCGCTGTCGCTGCTGGACGGGCAGGCGCGGGCCTCCGCAGCGAGAGCGGCAGCGGGGCGGGGACGCGGGAGCGGGAGCGAAGTGGAGCGCCGCGGCCCGCCCCCCGCGCCCTGGCCGCACCAGGGCGCGCGGGGTGCTACAGTGGAGGCCCATGCCAAGAAACACCCTGCTTGCCTCCAGGGTGCCCCGGGTGTCTTGGGTTTCGATGGTTTTGCCATGGAAAGCGTGACGCTCCCACACCGAAACTCGATGGACGTCCTGGGGTCTCGGGGTCGGGTTCCTTGTGGGCGGTTTCTTGTGGTCAGGCCACCACTGCAGCCGCGCGCTCGAGACCACACTTGGCTACCGCGCGAGGTCGGTGGCCGCCGACGCCGCCCTCTACAACGCCGCGCTCGGCGCGTGCAGCCGGGCCCAGAAGGGCGGCCTGGCGCTCCGCCTCCTGGAAGGACGCCTCCTCCTCCTCCTCCTCCTCGTCCTCGTCCTCCTCTCCAGGCCTCCCAGGTGTTGTCGGAGCAGATGGGATCGGAGGATCGCGCCGCGTCGCCGACGCATAGGCGATGCGGGTCGATGTGGAGCCCGACGTTCTCCACGCCGGCGTCGACGGTGCATCGCCGATGAATCGGCCATGCATCGGCGATGCATCGGCGATGCTGTGGGATCTTCCGACCTCATCAACGCCGACCTCATTTGGGGGGCCTCTACTCGCACCGTTGGCGCCGCCGGGTGCGTCGGCAGGACGGTGCGGGCGTTTCGCGCGAGGCTCTTTTCCCATGCGTCGTGGCCCGTGGTGTTTCTTTCGGACCTCCAGCAGCTGCGCGCGTGGACGGCGGCTGGCCCTCCAGACTCTCGTGGGGATGCCCCACGAGTCGGCGCCTCCAGGGGGCGAATTGTTCGACCCTGGCCCCCCAGAAGGGGGACAGGATGGGGTTGGAGCGGGCTCGGGGGCCAATCTCAAGATCGTCACCCTCCTATGGCTGCACGGATGGAGGTCGGTGGGATGTCATACGCATTGGTTGCGCGCGCTTGCTCGACACGACCTCACATTCTCCGAGCACGAGCACGGGGAGCGCTCGGAGCCGCAGGGGCGTCCCAGTTTCCCGTGCGCGCGCATGCGGGTGCCGAGGATACGGATCCTTGTGTCATGCACGCAGTGGGAAGCGTGATGTCCTGGACGCAGTGGGAAGCGCGATGGGCGATGGGTGGGTTCCTCGGCACGTGGTGTGAAGTCATGTTTCGTTGCATGTGTGCGTATAGTTGTGCAAATGCGTACTGTGCGTAGCATTGCACGCGGTTCCTGCTGTCTGTGTGTTTGTCTCTCCTGCATGTCATTACCGCCCGCATGTCCAACCCTTGTATCATGCCAGTTGTACGCGCAATCGGAGGCAAGTGTAGCACATCGCACGGGCCCCATCGTGTTGCTGGGGTGCTGTTTCTCCCCTCCCTTCCTCCTCCCTCCAATATTTAGATACCTACAAATGAATGTGTATTGTTATCCATGCACATGTTCTTAAGCTGCATCTATAGATTCATATATGTATAGTATGGGTCTCGCCCTATCTCTCTTTCGCTTCCTCTCTCTCTCTCTGTGTTTTCTTTCGTTCTTTCTCTCTCTCTCTCTCTCTTTCTCTCTCCCTCTCGTTCATCGTAGCGTTCACCCGTTGAAAGCTTGGCTTGTATTCGGACTCGCGGGAGACCACAACTCACACGGGTGGACGGCGACTGATCCTCGAAATCGGGTTCGATTTTCAAAGTTTGTAATGTTCGTAATCTTGCGGTATTGGCCACCCCCCAATTTTTGCGAGTCAGGGCGCCTTCGGAATGCTCCCGCTTGGATGCGCTTTCAGAGCCTTTTCCCGCTGCGGCAGCATGTTCCGTTCTTATCTTCATGCGCTGTCCTGGAACCGCGCGCGCCCTGCTTCGTTCTCGTCTTACTCCCCCACTGCGTACGACATGTTGCTTCACCCCTAAGTGGAGCCGCTGGGCAGTACACGCCCCCTCCGAAGGCCACCTGCATGCTCTAAGCCGTCGCACTCTTTTGCTAGACGCTGCGCGCAACCCCACCAACCCATCCGGAAACGATGCCCAGGCAAGTTGCTCTGATGAGGGATGTGGAGTAGAATGCAATGGAATAAGGGTTGGATAAGACGCCGTACCCTAAGTTGCAAGAGGGGGAGGATCGAGGAGGAATCGGAGGAGTAGCAAGAGGAGGAGGAGGAGGAGGAGGAAGAAGAAAGGGAGTGGGGGAGGGGGAGGAGGGACGAAAAAGGAGGGGAGACGAGCGGATGAGGAAGCGGAGCAGGAGGAGGAGGAGGAGGGCGAGCAGAAAGGCCAGAGGCCTCTCGGATGCCTCTCGGAGTCCCTTGAGATTTCTTTCGAGAGTTTCTTGGAGTCCTCTTGGAACGTCTTGGGGGTCTCTTGGCAGCCGGGGGCCTCTTGGGGCGTCTCGGATGCTTCTGGGGAGCCTGTAGAGCCTCTTGGGGGTCTCTTGGGAGCCTCGGAGGAGGCATCTTAGGTGTGTCTTGGGTGCCTTTTGGGGCCTGCTGGGCACATCTTGGAAGCCTCGGGGGCCACCTTGGGGCCATCTTGGAGGAGATCGCTCAAAGGAGGGGCGCTCCTGAATCAGGGTCGCCCCCCCCCCTTCCCCCAGGATGTCAACATGTGGCCCAAACCTCGTCAACACAATTTTTTAGGGGGGGCTTCCTCGCCGAGGCCGTCTTGTACGCTCCAACCCTTCGCGAAACGCCCGTCCAGGGGGAGAGAGGGAGGGGGAGGGGTACAAGCTATGTGCGCTCGCGTCATATCTGACGTCCTACCCCTCCCTCCCATCCCTTACCGTGGCGCTGATTTTCTCTATCCGCTGACGCGTGTCGTAGCGGACCTGTGGCTCCGCGCGCGCGTGCGTAGTGGGTGGTGGTGCGCGTGCGTGCGTGCGTGTGTGCGTGGTTGTGGTTGTGGTTGTGGTTGTGGTTGTGGTTGTGGTGGTGGTGGTGGTGGTGGTGGTGGTGGTGGTGGTGGTGGTGTGTGTGTGTGTGCGTGTGTGCGCGTGTGCTGTGGTGTAACGTGGTGTGGCGTCTTGGTGGTTCGGTGGTGGGCCAGATGCGTGATGGCGGTGGTGGTGGCGGTGGTGGTGGTGGTGGTGGTGGTGTGTGTGCGTGTGTGTGTGTATGTGTGTGTGCGTGTGGATGTGTGTGTGTGTGTGCGTGCGTGCGTGTGTGTCTGTGTGCGCGCGCGTGTGATGTGGTGTGACGCGGTGTAGCGTGGTGGTGGTGGGTGGGGTAGTGGGGTGGTGGTGGCGGTGCGCGTGCGTGCGTGTGTGAGTGCGTTGGTGGGTGGAAGTGGCGGTGGGCGGGGCGGGGCGCGGTGCGGTGGTGGCAGGCGGATGGGCGCGCGAGAAAGAGGCCCGCGCTGGGGCGAGAACGCCATCCTGAACGACGGAGGCAAAGCACCGATCCGAAAATGAGACCCACGCTGCAGCGGGAGCACGATTCGGAACGAGCGGGGCCGAAAATGAGGCCGGCGCCTCAGCGAGAGCAGCATTTTGGAAACAAATGCAAGCGAAAACCCAACTCCGGGGAAACCTGTGTGTAAAAAAACAGTACGCGGGGGGGGGGGCGGCTACTCCCAAGACGTCATCAGGGGAAGAGGGAGAGTAGTATTCATATTGAGTAATTGTAAACAGGTAAACCCCTCCCTAGAGGGGAAGAAATGCGGTGGACGCAGAAGGAGAAGGAGAAGAAGAAGAAGACGAAAAAGAACATGAAAAAGAGGAAGTGCTCTAAGCCACTCACGCCCAGAGGGCTGGTGGGATTAGTGACTGTGGACCATTGCCCGGGCATGTTCGCCTCCTTTTCCTGGGATGGTGCCCCCAGAAGTCCAGACCCGTCTGGATCACAACGACACGTTTGGGCGTGGAGGGGGCGATAGCCAGCAGATGCAGTGGCGTCGAGAGGCGGTGGCAAGCATGTGGAGTTCCTCAAAGGTGAAGCGTCGACAGGCACTCCACACTAGGCATCTCAGCGCTGCGGCACCTCAACGCCGTGGTTATCCATCTCCCTGTCCTTCCTCCTTCCTCCTCACCTCGCCCAGCGCCCGTCGCTCGCTCGAGATTCCCTCCAGAGGGGAGTAAGAGAGGAGCGGAAGGAGGAGGTTAAATACCTATATGACCACCCTTCGGGTGATAAGAAGGTTGTGGGGGGGAGAGGGGGGGAACCAACATCTGACTCAATCGATCGCACCATCGATCTCACTATCAATCTCACTATCGATCTCACCCCACGGGACACCACGGGACACCTGTCAATCTCACTATCGATCTCACTTTTTGGGACACCACGGGAAGAGATAGCAATGATGCATGCGAGCATGAGCATGGTAATGAGGGCGGTCAGCGATGTTAAGTAGCATGTGAGCCAACAGTGACTACGAGATCTACAATGACTACCAGATCTACCAGGTCTACGGGACACCACGGGACACCACGGGACATTCGTCGATCTCACGATCGATCTCACTCAACGGGACACCACGGGACACCTCCGGACACCGCGGGACAATTGGCGATCTCACTATCGTTCTCACTATCGATCTCACTATCGATCTTATTCAACGGGACGCCATAGGACACCACGGGACACCTCGGGACATCACATCGATCTCACTATCGATATCACTATCGATCTCACTCAACGGGACACCACGGGACATCACGGGACACCTGTCGATCTCACTATCGATTTCAATATCGATCTCACTTTTTGGGAGACCACGGGAAACCATGGGACACCTCGGGGCACCACATCGATCTCACTATCGACCTCATTATCGACCTCACTCAACGGGACGCCACGGGACACCACGGGACGCCACGGGACACCACGGGACACTTGTCGATCCCACTATCGATCTCATTACCGATCTCACTCAACGGGACACCACGGGTCACCACGGGACACCGCTAGGGCCACCGCCGCACGGACGGAAGGAGGAGAAACATTTGTCTTGACTTCGCCCTAGCAACGGCGGGTTCATTCCTCTCGCGCTCCCACGCAGCTTCGCCTCGCCCGCACGCACGACACAAACGAAACGAAACGATTTCCCGTTTGAGGGTCTCCGTTCCACTGCGATCTCACCCCCCGACCTCCGATGATAAAAGAAGAACGTGTTCGGAAGTACGGAGGTCCAGGGGCTTCCTCAGAGGGAAGGGGGGGCGAGTGGGGAGGGAGGAAGGAGGACGAGGAGGAGGAGGAGGAGGAAGAGGAGAGGAAGAGGAGGAGGAAGTGGAGGATGGGGGAGTAGGAGGCCGGGGGAGAGGAGGCGAGGGGAGGAGGCGGGCGAGGGGAGGAGGAAGGGGAAGAGGAGGAGGAGGAGGAGCAGGAAGAGGAGGAGGAGGAGGAGGAGGAGGACCAGTGTAATAAAACCCAAGGTGCATTCACGAGGTTGCAGTCAACCTTCCCTCCAAGTCCCCTCTGTACAAGTCCCTCTAATAAGTAAGTTGTTTCAATTGCGGGAAGTGCCACCGTGAAAGACAACCGCATGATAATCATCCATCTGGCCAAATCGCCACTATTCTCGGGATTATTGTTTGTTGCATCCTGACCGTCCCAAATTTCGCCAGAACGCAACTCCTCAGACTTCAACACCGCGAGCCAACGTTACAGTTGCGTCCTGATCATCCTGAGTCGTGCCAGAATTCCTTTCCTGAAGCTTCATTCCCGCAATTTCGCTGCGGCAGACGTTTAGGACGAATTCGCGCGGCTCTCATGCGAGAGCCAAATTTTGAACACGATTAGTGTTCCATCCTTGAGACTGCTGCGAATTTCGAGCTTCGGGGTCTGAAATGGTGAGAAAGTCTCAGGCGGAACGCTCCACCCCGCCTACCCACAAGTTTGAGGATGTGACAGGGAGGAGCTATTCAGAAGTAAAAGGGATGGAGGAGGGAGACATCACAATTGGGAAGACGGCGGAGGAGATGCAGGGGAAGAGAGACGGAGGGGGGATGAGGAGGAGGGGTGGAAGAAGGGAGTGGTGGAAGGAACGCAGCAGCAGGAGAGTAGGTTGGTCGGTGCTCGTTCTCATCCCCAATCCCTTCCAATTGCCCCATCTTCTTGAGATTGGTCCCCTCGCCCGCCCTCTTGGTTAGGCAGCCGTTGGATACGAATCCATCGTTCCAGAGCGTTCCAGAACACTCTCAGTGTTTGTTGGAGCGCTCTGGAACGGCCTTGGCGCCCGATGCATCTTCTGGGCCCGCCAGCCCCCTGGGATCCCCCAGCCTTTCGCACCACATGATGTTCGTATGTTGCCCCCAGCTTAACTGTTGCGCCCACCACCACCCTTGGGCGCGTATCCGATCTCGACCTTTTTTCCAGTGGCGACGCGCCCTGTAAACTGAGCCCTCCTCTGGGTCCAATTGGCCGCGGTGCCACTGCGCGTGCGCGCAAGGCACTTCGGCTCGAGCCGGTGGGTTTTCGCTTTCCTGCCTCTCCAGCCCCCCGGCTTCTCCTCCCTCCCTTCCCTCCCCATACACACGAGCGTCACCTCTTTCGACACCAGCAAACATTGGACATTTGTTTGGTATCGCATGTGCCGATGCACGCGACAATTGCCAACACGCTTAGACGAGCAAGCATCTCTAATTGATGGAGAAACGCCAACGCATCCCGCCACGAAGTACATGTGTTTGACACGTCGTCCAATAGAAAGTTGATAGAGCACCAGCACACACGGGGGTAATTTAGTTCGTCATGGGCAGGACACGTCAGCACCTCAACCCTCGCTGCCTCCTGCGTTTTTCATCCAATAACCAGTTTCTTGAATTCGAAAACCAGCCTCCCCGAGACATGTCCCTGAGCGCCGTGCCGCCGGACGCCGTCAGCTTCGGCTCCGCCATCGGCGCGCTGCGGCGCTCTCGGGAGTGGGCCACGGCGCTGCACCTGGTGGAGGTGATGCGGTTGTGCGGCGTGCGGCCAGACGGGAGCTCCTCCGCGAGGGCGGGGGCCCGGGAGCGTCTCGCAGCCACGCGCAGCGGGGGGTGGGGGGAGGGGGAAAGGCTTCTTAGAAGCACCCCTGCGTCTTAGAAGGCGCGGGCCTTCTCTATGGATGTAAGGCTGGCGCCTTCTAAGAAGCAGCCTCCTTCTAAGAGGCCCTCTCCCCTCCCTCCACCCCCTTATGCGCGCCGCCAAGTCTCTCAGGGAGGGCTCGTCGTCATCGCCGTTATCCTCCTCCTCCTCCTCCGTAGCCATGTTGGCTCAAGCCAGTTCCTCTCAAGCTGGCCGAGGCGCTTCCGTGGTCATCTGCTTGCCGGTGTGTGTGTGTGTGTGTGTGTGTGTGTTTGTGTGTGTGTGTGTGTGTGTGTTTGTGTGTGTGTGTGTGTGTGTGTGTGTTTGTGTGCGCGTGCGCGCGTGTGCTGAGTTATTCTCGCCTTGCGCTCTGTTTCCTGGACGGCTACGTGGCCCATGGGCAAGGCACACACTATTGTAGTTGATTCGACTCGGATTAGCCGACGTCGAGTGGAAGGTTGGGACGCTGATACCAAGTGCAAATGCAACGACTTGTCTCACGTTTATCGCCAGGAGTTTCGCAACTTGCAATTTGAAGCGCACGCTACCAATTTGCACTGCAGTGCGATTGCTGGCACGCGGAAACGGTCCTGTGGACCTGCCTTGCGGATTGCTAAACCTCTTCTTCCTCATCGCGTTTTCTGCAAGGCGACACGCCTCAAGAGAAGCGCGGACCGACCACGACATCCTGAAGCGGCGCCCCTTTAGCGTCAGGATCTCCCAGACTTTGACTTCAATGTTGGTGCTGATATGTTTGTCCCCGTGGCGTGCGCGTTGGTTGATTTCAACACAATGGGTCATTCCTCTGACGACGCTGATGGTCACGACACGGTGTGGGCCAATGGGCTTGACTCTGACCCGTTTTGATCGTTTTGTGGTTCCTGCTCTTTTGTGTTGCTTCCGTATGTTCGCAGTGTTGGTGGTGCTGGGTATTTTTGTTCCCAGCCATCTTGTGGTATTTGGTCCTCGTTTTGAAATAACGGTCCCCGCGTTCTCCTCCTTTCCCTCCTCCCCCTCCTCCCTCCTCCCTGCATTAGGCTTGGCTCGAGCGGTTTGCAAACCGGTTCCGCGCCGATCCCCGCCGCGACGCCCGCAAGGGCCGCCATCCGCCAGGCGCGACGCCTGCTTTCTCTCCTCCCTCCTACCCCCAGCGGCCTCGCGACGAGCCCGCTCACCATCGCAGAGCGCGCAAGCAGCGCGCAAACGCTCGCACACTTTTAAGAGTGCACAAAGCCGCGATGATGCTCTCTCACCACCACTCTTTCCAGGGCCTCCCGCAGCAAGGCGCTGTTCCTACGACCTTGCCCCCGCCTCACGCGACGCCTCTCTCGCCAACGTCTGGGCTGCAGCAGCACGGTATGGCTACCTCCCCCACGCAGCGTATGGCTGCTCCTCCCTCCCCGTCCCTTTATGCCACGCGCCTGCCTACTGACTTCTTTCCTCCCCCCCAGCAGCCAGTGCACCAGAAAGGCAGCGCCCCTCCCGAATTCTGGTATTGCCTGCAGCGCGGCCGTGCCAATACCACTTTGGACGTTTCATGCCCCACCTGCTTTCCGACTCGGGCGGCAGGTCCTCAGCATGCGACAGCCGGCCCCGCCAAAGGTCAGGTGCAGCACAAGCCCCTGCAAGGTGCGGGCCCTGGGCCGGGCCACAAGGGCCCACGCTCCTTTTCTGGAAGCACGGGAGGGGTACACATGGGCAAAGGCCATGCGCCGTCAACTGCGCCATCTTTCGACCAGGTGGCTGCGTGGGCAGCGGAGTACGGCTTGCTCCCCGCACCCCCAGGAGACCACACGGTCCAGCCAGAAGTGATCTCCAACAAGGAGCGCAAGAAGCGCGAGAAGGACGAGGCTCGCAAGGCCCGCGAGTCCCAGCGCAGCGAGGGGGAGCAGCCCGCCTCAAAGGCTCCTGGCACCCCGCACGGCGCCAAGGACACGGGCATCATCGGGCAGTCTCCCCGGACGCAGCCTTCGCCTTTTGCGCCTCCTCCTGAAGGTGCGGCCACCCCCTCCACACTCTTCGGCCCCGCCTCTGTGCAGTAGTCTCCGTTCCTTACGGCCGACCAAGCCTTCTCCTCTCTCGGCGCGTTGGATCCTGCCACTGAGCTCTCAGTAGCAGAGCTCACAGCGCAATGCCCTACCCTCACCCCTGACGAGGCGCACTCTCATTCGGCCTGGATATATCCCCCGCTCGAGCCCGACCGCCTGCTGGAGCTTCGCAAGGCCCTTGCCATGAGCAGGGATGCGCTGATCCTGCAGCTCAGGGCCTAAATCCTCCTAGGACGCTCCGATACGCGTATCACCGAGATCCGTAAGGAGATTTCGTTAGTTAACTTTCAGTTGGCCAATGCGAGGGATCCGCTAGCCAAGATTAGCGAGCAAGAGCACGTGGTGGCCTCTCTGCATGCCGATTGCGAGCAATTGGCAGCTAAGCAAGCACAGGCAGAGGAGCACGTGCGTAACCTCGCCCTGGCTCTTCAAACCGCGCAAGCGGACCTCAGCCAGACATCTACATTATTAGCTTATTTCAAATCGCAGGCGCCGCCAGCCGCCGCCATCGCTGACTCGCTCATGATGGGGGGGGCGGCGGACGAGCCAGGAGCAGCACAGCGCACTGCGGCACTCTCTGCATCGCACGCGGGCGAAGATCGAGCTGGCCCGCCAGACCTAGGAACGGCCACGCCCCTCACTGCCGCGCCGCCCTCCCCTCCGCTCCTCCAATGCCCCACGCCCCTACCAGGCATCCAAGGGTTGGAACAGCCTTGCATCGCCTCGCTCTCCGCGGCCACGCAGAGCAACGCCGAGGCCATGGCCAGGGAGGTAGCCACCATTAAGGCAAGTTTTGACTCCCAGGCCCAGGCCATGCGCAACTCAGTAGACACCCTAGTCTCACAGATCAAGGCCGGGCAACTAGTGCCAGCCGCCGTCTCTAGCCACGGTGCCACGGCCCGGGGGGGGGGCCACCGCGCCGTCAGGTTCTGACCAAGCCCGCGCTCCCGCCAGAGCAGGCCCGCTTTTCCGCCCAGGCTTCGCGCCCAGACCTGGGCCAGCGCCAGTGCCCGAGACGCCGACAGGGGAGGCGACCACCACTGCGCCCACATTTCAAGGCGGCTCTTTCTTGAAGGCGACGCACACCCGGGGGCAAGGGAACTCTACCTTGCCATCAGGAGTGCCACCAGGAGAGGCCGCCACCAACCAGTCGAGCCCAGCAGCAGCTTCCGTAGGGGAGCCCAGCGAACTGCCCCCGCCTACCCGTTCTGCCAGCCAGCTCGGATGGGACCTCTCTGATGAGAAAGGTGAGCCAGTCACCATGGCATCCCCCCGCCGCAGCGCAAGCGCTCAGGCCAGGGGCAGACCCGCGCGCGCGGGTCTGGCCGACGAGCGCACGCTCTCAGGCATCAGCGAGGAAGATTTTGAAGGCAAGCAGGCGGCACGCAGTAAGAGCCCTCGTGGCTCCCGCCGCCCCAGGCGAGCGCCAGCCGGGGCTGAGCCGACGCCCCGTGCAGGGGCCCCCGCCGCGGCTGCCCCCCGCAGTCCTGCTGATGCAATGGCAGACGCAGAGGCAGCGGACCTTCGCGCCGAAGCCGAGGCCCACGCGGCACAGGCTGCTCAGGTCGACTTGGCCCAGGCAGCGCGCGACGGCACGGTTTTTCAGGTCGCTCCCCCGGACACTGCCCGCGGGTGAACCTGGGCGGACGACAAGGCATACGCCGCAGCCCGCTTCCGCCCATGGGGTGGATGCTACCGGTTCTCACGGCTACCTCCATCCAGCTGGTCAGGGATTTTGATGCCATATTCCCCGCCCTCCACTCCTCCTGCGTCCTCACCTGGCATAGCCTCGCCTTTGACACACCCTACGCGGCTTTTGACTCCGCGGATATATACACCGACGCCAGCGGAGGGGCCTCCAAAGGATCTCGCTGGCCCGCCAGCGTGGGCTTTTCTGGTCTTTGCATGGCTCAACGGCACTCGTCACTTTCTCGGCTTCCTCGGGTGTCCCACACCGGAGCTGACAGGAGCAACGAGAGTCTCTGCCAAGGCAGAATTCGATGCCGCCACATGGGCGGCGCTATGGGCCTTACAGTCCCCGCTTCCTCCCGCCGTTCCTCTCACCCTTCACTCAGATAACATGGACGTGGTCTCTACCGCCCAAGGCGGTACTGTGGCCGAGCCACTCATAGAGCACAGAAGTCGCCTTGACAGTCTGTGCAAGGTCCTGGGTCTGAAACGTCGCTTTACATGGCAGCACGTGCACGGTCACCAGGCAGACCCACTCAACGAAATGGTTGACACGGTCGCCAGACTTTATTCCCTCGCAGTGCTCCCTCCTCCCGCGCCCCCACCCCTCATGAGCTTTCTCCAGGACAATGCGCACATCCTGGAATGGCTCTGGCTTGAGTGCCCCCCCCAGCAACAGCGCGCCCTTTACCCGCCTAACCATCAGGTTAGCCTTAATCCTCCTTTCCCTCCGCGCACCTCGCTCGCAGATGTTCTTCCAGGTCTCTCCGAGGAGGCAGCCCCTATCGCAGACGCCACCGCATCCTGTTGCCTCAGGCTAGCCTCAGCCAACATTCTCTCTCTCACGCCTGCATCGCGCATCTCCCAAAGAGCCAGGCTTACAGGCGTGGCCGTCGAAGGACGCCTCCATCAGTTGGCCGCCGCCTTTCAACGCAATGGGCTCGATGTTATCGGTATGCAAGAAACGCGAGTCACTGCCAATGGCTCTGGCAAACGCCAAGTCCCCCCGTGCATAGTTTTTCTGTCCGAGTCGCAAGCTGGCACCCATGCTTGCGGCTGCGCGCTCTGGGTCAACCTTAGCACGCCCGTATTTCCTAATGCCAAAGGCATCCCCACCTTTCCTATTAAGTCGCATAATGTGCGCATTGTACACCAAGACCCGCGAATCATCGCGGCCGTCATAAGTCAGAACGGCCTACGTTTCAGCATCCTAGTGGCGCACGCTCACCATTCCGGGCGTCCTCTCCATGAGCAGGCCGCATGGTGGCAGCACCCTCGATATGTGCATGACCATATTTTGCCGCAGCCCACTCCCACTCTTGTCCTCATGGACTCCAATGCTGCAGTGGGCACGCAAACCTCAGCGGCCATCGGCCCCCAGCACGCGGAGCAGGTCAACACGGCTGGCTCCTTTTTCCATCGCTTCCTACTCGCCTCAAATCTCTGGCTGCCGGCCACCTTTGTGCCCCACCGTATGGGAGCGGGCACATGGATTTCGCCAGCACGCGACCCCGCCTTCAAACAACACTGGAAGCGCAGGGATTACATAGCTATCCCGATAGGCGCCTCAGCCACTGAGTGCGAGGTCAAGTACTCCCTTACCCTGGCACTCGCAGTACTAGACCACGCTGCTCCGTGCCTATCATGCCGCTTCAAGCTTCAGCTGCGCCCAACCGAGGATCAGGGATGCCAGGTCATGCGTATCCCGCACGACCCTACAGCGTACCTCGACCCGACGGCCAGGCAGCTTTTTGAAGACACATTTAAGCCTCCTCCCGAACTTCTAACCTTTGACTTGCATGCCTCTGACCACGCGCTCATCCTAGACCGGGAGGCGCGCAACGCCATGCTACAGGCCTTCCCCCAACCCCGCACGGCAACAGGCCGCGCACCTACCAACTCCCGCATCTCTATGGCCACCCTCGCGCTTATGGATGCCAGAGCCTTGACCATCAGTCAGGCCAACACCCTGCAACGAGATGCGTGCAACCTTTTCTTGCGGGTAGCTATCGCGGCTTGGAAGCGATATTTGCGTTCCAGGCAAGCCTTTACCCGTCCCCAAGCCGCCTTGCTCCGTCACGACGAGCTCTCGCTGATGCCCGCAGTCAATAATGCATTTGCCACGCTTGCGGAGCTCGGCGCTGCCCTGCGCAGCATGCGAGCCAGCATGGCGGGCCCTAGCGCCTCCATTAAATGGAAGCCCCGGATGCGCATGGCCTGCCTGCACCAGTTTTTGGCGGTCTCTCCTATACGCGTTGCTCAAACCCGCTTTCCTCACGGCTGCTCCGCCCCTACCATAGGTACCGCATACGCAGCCGCCCTTCACCTACGCGCGCGCGCAAGCGCCCTCAGGGCTATCATCCTAGCTCAATTCACGCAGGCAGTCCGTTGCTCCGTCGACCTGGACGCCTCCTTTCACCTGCAAGGTATTGCCGCCGAAGTGCACGAGGCCTGCCAGACCTCACAACAGCGCACTGCCTTTGCGCGCCTACGCACGCTCGGCGTTGGCTCCAAAAAGAAGCTACGCACCTCACCCCTACCTATCCTCTCCACAGCAGCGGGCACCTTCGTTGTCGACGCCACTCAGGCTGCCGACACTTGGCTCTCCCATTTTGCCCGACAGGAGCACGGTGCAGTTATCCCGCTCAAACAAGCCAAGGCCTACGATGCTAGTGCATCGTATCTGCCCGCTGACCTCACTGTGGATGTTCCCCCCCCTACTCACTCTTTACCCTAGCGCAAATTGAACGCGCCTATGCCAGGACCCCAGACTCTGCAGCCAGCGTAGACGGCTTCAAAGGAGCCTTTGTCAAGTCGTTTCACCGTCTACTAGCGAAGCAGTATTACCCGGTCCACCTTAAGGCGCAGTTGCGCCTTGAGGAACCGCTGGCTTGGCGGGGAGGGTACAACTTCGACATTTTTAAAGGTAAAGGCAATCCAGCCATCATGGCCAACTCTCGCTCAGTAATGGCTTCCCCTCACTTTTCCAAGCGGCATCGTGCCCTTTTGCGCAAAGAACTGGTAGAATATCTCCCTCCCGTGGCAGGCGCCTCCCAGTCTGGCGGCATTGCTGGGCGAGGCACCGACTTTGCCACGCTCGCGGTCCTAGCGCA